GCAAGCAAGCACACATAGACGCACGTCAGTACACACAGACGCACACACACACACACACACACACACACACACACACACACACACACACACACACACACACACACACGTATCCCCCACCCATTAGATATATAGAGAGTATTTACATTGTTCTATAACTCTAATAAACCAAGTTTCATGCGATCTCACTATCTTCTTTCTCATCGTTTTTGTAAGTAATCCTGAAAAAATATAGCCATCGATATTTTTATTTCGTTAGATTAAAATATGAGTAAAGACAAATTGTATTCATTTGAAAAATTCTGTACATTTGAAGATGTTACTGCCATCCGTACATCTAACCATACATACATGCGCACATAAGATATATATATATATATATATATATATATATATATATATATGGCATAATGTTAGGGTCATAAAAATGCATGTGAAGTAACCGTGATTACAAAATGCTCTTTTTACATATCTATAGGAGTGTGCCGAAAAGTTCTCGGTTCAACAAAGAAAATCGTCCAAAACGTTTGACGTATTTTGGTCATATATTGGGAAATGGGATAGAAAGAGAACTTTTCAGCACCCCTTTGTATATATCAACTGTTGGGGAATTGTTATCCTTTTTAATGGTCCCTACTATCTATCTATCTATCTATCTATCTATCTATCTATCTATCTATCTATCTATCTATGCCAGCCCGTCCATTATCTATCTATCTATCTATCTATCTATCTATCTATCTATCTATCTATCTATCTATCTCCTTTTTCACGTATGTACCAGATTTTTGCAAAATGATTTCAAAACTTTACAAAAGTCTCGATTTTTATGACATGCTGGAGCATTCAAAGTGTGTTGATTTTTCTGTACTCAGTAGCACATTTTATATTCTATATCTGATAATAGGAAGTAACATTTATTTCCTCATAATAAAATTATATATATATATATATATATATATATATATATATATATATATATATATATAGAATAAATAAGAGGTAACAATTTATATGTATATGTGAAGAGGATAACGGTTATCCCTAGAATTCTAGTGATTTGGGGAAGCATCCTCCCCTGAAGCATGCTCTTTCACAAAGTCACTTTTTGTAGGATGAAGTTGGTCGAGTGGAATTTACATCTCACCAACAGAATACGAAGAGAATTAGTGTCGTTTGCTACAATGTGCTTAGCATGGCGGGTCTTAACTGTGATACTTAGAAATGGTGGAACGAAGGAATGGATTTCGTCTGAACACTTTCTATGGAATAGTAATGAGAGGCTTACTAACCTTTTGCCTGTTGGAAACGGGTTGTAGGGAGGGAAATAATGAATCACCCACAAGGTCACGTAAACGCTTTTCGATACAGGAAGATAAAGACTGGGCAGTTCTTTTCTATATAGGCAGCAATGTCAGATTCTCCCTACTATTTCGACAGATAAAGGCACAATAGTGTGGATTTAAGCTGAACTACTAGACTATCCACACAGATGATTTGATTATAATGGTGAAAGGTTATGTTAAACGAGCCATATTTTTCGGAGGAAATGATAACAAAAAAAAAACAGTGTGCCACAATATTTCCGAACAAGCCTCATCATAATAATAACTACAGAATAATTTCATAGCCAAAGGACAGTACAGGAATTCAACCATCAACCTTACCAGAAAATCATGATGTGAATTCTGCAGTCTGCACTGGCTGCCACCTAAGAGAAGAGAGTTTAATTCATAGATTGTAGACGAAGGATTCATTACTTATCCAAAGACAATCAGTGAGATGCGAATCGACCGAAATTTGAACTCCGTTTACCACGTTCCACTTTCAGCATGCATATATATATATATATATATATATATATATATATATATATATATATATATATATATATATAAGGTGTGCTATATTTATGTGATAAAGTGCTCAATATCAGAGATGGTGCGTATGTAAATATAAATATAAAAGTGAACATTGAAGTCAACACTCAGAGGCGACAGGCTGTTTCAGGCGGCCTGACGATTGCGTCTAGCAGGAAACAGCCTGTCACCTCTGACTGCTGACTTCAATGTTCACTTTATATATATATATATATATGAATGGATTTTTTGTTTGACATTATTTTTTTTATTACTATAAATGTTATTTTAGTGGGTATACGTATATGAATTGCTATCCCAGTTTTTTATTTCTTGGTTGAGAAGTCTTGCTAAATAAAATATTAGCTCCATTTCGGTTCCTGTAGGAGGCACAATCTTTAGAAGGCATGAATATATATATATATATATATATATATATATATATATATATATATATATATATAATGTTAATGTCTATACTCGACTGGTGTAAAAAAACGAATAGTACAATTTGTATTTAAAAAAATTGGTATCTGGGGAAAAAAAAAAAATTGAATAAAAAAAAAGACTAAAAAAGTCTGAGTAGGTTGAAAAAAATCGCTTAGGGCGAATTGACCCTGAAGGTCCATTTAGATTAAACTTAGATAGGCAGTTTCTGGCTCACTAGTGTTATATATATATATATATATATATATATATATATATATATATATATAAATGTGTGTGTGTGTGAGTGTGTGTGTGAGTGTGTGTGTGTAGATAATTTCAACTTAGTTGGATAGTTGATATAATGCACTGACATAGAAAGTAGGAAGATTGTGTAGCTTCAGTTTTACAAAGGCATTAATCTTTCTTTTATATGAGCATCGTAACTATATAAAAAACTGTTTAAAATACGATTGTAAATGAAAACAGATTTTAATTGATAACTAATTGTTCGAAAAAGTTTTACGGCAAATACAGGAGTTTAAAATCATTTTAATTTATCTTTGATTATTTCTGTATATATTTTCGAAGCAATATCAGTTGAGAAACGCGAAACTTCTCAGTTTTACTGACCTTTATCGAAAAATAGTTTTATAAATTATTATTTCTGGTTATTTAAAATCCTCACGTTAAATAGCTTTTGCTTAAACTGAATGTAAATCCAAATTATCTGAAATAAATATCTCTTGGCAAACTGCTCCTGTTCATCGCATCAGAATTGAACCATAGAACTCTAGACATTTTCTTAAATTCAGTAAGCCTTCAGTTCGTCAGATGCTAATATCGTATTCAAATGAATACGGACACCTTAATAACCAATCATGAGCCAGCATTTAAATCGAAAAGCAAATTGAATTTGCATCCATGTTTACAAAACAGAGAAATAATAGATATTCTTAAAGATATGATTAAATTAGAATTATAAGCGATACGTGCATAAATCAATAGTGTTTCTGAATTTTGATGTTTTTCAGACGTGAAAATTTCACAGGGTGTTCTCTCAAGAAAATTCATTTAACATTATTTTAATAATTTCCAAGAATATATTTTCGTTTTTTTCTGAGGAGCTAACATAAACTTGTCAGCTCAATCAGGATGGAATCCCCCCAAATATTACAACAAATTCAGCTACTTTATGATTCTGTGTAGACTTACTAAACCACCATTGTGGATCTCTCTCTCCCGCCCCCACTCTCTCTCTCTCTCTCTATATATATATATGTAATAATCCGTTGGTATATAATCCAACTGAATGCTATTAATACAATGTAAAATATTAAATATTAAAACTGATTCACACATAGAGCTCAATATTGAACATTGAAATTAACATTTAGAGGCAACAGGCTGTTTCATGCTAGACGCAATCGTCAGGCTACCTGACGATTGCGTTAAACAGCAGAGCACTTTCGCTACATTCATATATATATATATAGGTCTGTGTGCGTTTTTGTGTGTTTTTTATCGTGTTTCATACAATAGGAATTAAGATTACAATAAGTTAATGATCATTTTAACCCTGTAAATTGAAATCAAATTTACAAGGATTTTTCAAACCAGTCAATGGATGTTAATACATGCATATATATATATATATATATATATATATATATATATATATAAATATATATATTCCTACTACAGGATACGTTTTCTTTACTAAGTTTTATCGAATGGCAGGCCGACTGATGTAATACACACTGTTTAATAAATAGAAATGAGCCGTTTACACACACACACATATATATATATATATATTAATAAATAGCGACTATTCATAACCGATTTGTTTCGCCCTCGGAGCGACAATATGTGATTAATTATTTTGCACGTGTTTATTTACAGAAAAGAGAATGCCATTGGTTCATTAAGGCTTGTAAATTTGAGAACGTTCGTGAATGTTCACCAGGGGATTGAAAGGTTAGTCAAAACATATGGAGGACACAAAGTGCCATAATTCAAAATCTAATAAAAAATAAGACAGTAATATTCAAGAAATTAACAAAAGATAACTGATAACTGACATCCATTAAACATGGCACGCAGAACAAGAACAGTCTACCTCTGTGAGCGAAATAAAAGGTTCAGTTCGACATTCCAACCACCTGAAGAAGGCCGGAGCGTACAACGGCCGAAACGTTGTAATAAATATGGCGTCAAAGATGAGGACAATAGTCCGAATAATGTAAATAATACCTCATCTCAGAAATATAGACAGATACTGAATATTGTTTATTAGAGTATTGTGATTAGATTGTTATGGTATGAAATGAGTGCATATGCTGTACATCTTCAAAAACATGAGTTGATGGATTGATAAACCAATGTCATCCTCGCTTTTGTATATAAACACGTGCAACATAATAAAAGAAGTCTCCTCGAGGGCGAAACGCGTCGGGTAAGAATAATTTTACTTCTTGCCTCTTTATTCATTTCATTCCTTTACTGATACAGTATCTGAAAACAATTTACACATACACACACAAACACATTCACACACACGCGCGCGCACACACACACACACACACACACACACACACACACACACACACACATATATATATATATATATATATATATATATATATATATATATAGATAACTAGACTCGTTTCGAAAAACCCTCGAATTTTTGATTTGCTAATCAAATCAATCTCGAGGGAAAAAAAGGTTTTACAAAAAGAAAGAGCTACAAATATGAACTTCTGCCGACAAAAAATAATCGCACAGATGCAGGTCTGAAGCCCAAAGAAAAAACCCCGATACGAGTAACAAATAACTAACAAAAGAGCTCAATACAACCGTAGAGCAGACCTAGATACACCTAGTGTAAAAGGTTGTCAAAGGTTTGTCTGGCTCACTAGGTGTATATATATATATATATATATATATATATATATATATATATATATATAATTACAGGAAATGACATCGGATCAACAAACCTTTGAATAATTTGTAACCTTATTAAATGTAGAAAAAAATACAATAAATATAAAATATCTTATCAGTCTTGTTTAACGAAACATGCATTAAAGAGGGATTGCTGCTTAGATACAAAACTACGAATAAGTCATGGGCTTCGCTAAAAAAAGCGTATACTCTTATTTTGTAAACGTCATCAACTCGGTTTTTTTTCATGGATTTGAATTCTTAAGGGTTTCTAGTTTCTTTGCATTGTTTTACCCAAATTAAAGAAATGAGCAAGATTAACAACAGCTCGTCGAAAGATTTCCATGAAATAAATCATTCGTTGGAACTACAAGTTTTTCATTTAATTAAAACAAGCATCAACTTATCCACAAATATGAATCATTGCGAGAGAATTTTTAACTTGCCAAATTAAAGTAATAGCGAAACCAAGATATTAATTTTTTACAAAAATGCATTATTCGTGTCATTTAAATTTTTTTCTTTTTTAATTTAATTTTTCTCCCTGTATATTTTTGTGTGTTGTCTTGGGATTTGGAAAGACTATAACGAAGACAGGGAACGTGTGAAATGATCTCGGGATGAAATCATTCTGATACGAACATCATCTTAGCTCTGTGACACAAGTGAAGTCGTTGAAGAAAGAAAGAAATTGAAAGTATCCCAAGGTAGATAACCTCATTCGAACGTATAACAAGGTCGAAGGGTCAGTGAACAAATGGACAGCACTAGGCAGATAAGCCCCTCAGAAGAAAATATTACTTTTTCTTTGTAATAATTGTTTCAGAATATATATATATATATATATATTATAATTATTTTTTTAAAAAAATATGATTCCTTCGCTACATAAGAGTTCTTACGTTTCAAAAACGAGAGACGAAAACCTCATTATAATTATAAAAAAATAAATTGAATTAAAGCCCTGTTTCATCCTCAAGTGAAAATTTAAGAATAACCAATCTTGAAATTTATGCATCTTTATAAGCATGTTCATTCGCAAAATTAATTACGACGGAAATAGCTGGGGCGACCATTTTGATAAGGGTCCGAAGAGATAATTTTTATCCACATATCAGTCACCATCGGAAAGCGAATGATGAATAATTTAAGCTCTACTTCTGTATGGAGCACTGTTTTTTAAAAAAAAAAAACAAAAATACTAAAGAAATCCGGATTATTTAATTAACATGTTCTTTACTATTTTCCTACACACACACACACACACACACACACACACACACACACACACACATATATATATATATGTATATAGATAGATAGATATGAAGAAATATATTTTTAAGGTGTGCTATATTTATGGGATAAAGTGCTCAATATCAGAGATAGAGCGTGTATAAATATAAAAGTGAACATTGAAGTTAACACTTAGAGGCGACCGGCTGTTTCATGCCTGACGATAGCGTTAAACAGTAGAGCACTTTCGCTATATATATATATATATATATATATATATAATTATCTAAAAAAAATTATAACATAAATATGTTATAAAATCACTAAAAATAGCCATTTTGTTTCAGGGTGTTGAAACAAAATGGCTATTTTGTAGTGATTTTATAACATATTTCTGATATAATTTAAAAAAAAAATAAATTATATCTGGTATACTTTGTATTGAGCACTCTTTTAAGTATAGTAATTGTTGGCTATTGGAATTCATTCCGTATATACCAATTATATATATATATATATATATATATATAGGTCTGCGTGCGTCTTTGTGTGTTTTTTGTGGTGTGTTCGTGTTTGTGTGTGCGCTGTGTATAAGTTGCGCCACGTATTTGCGAATGATTACTTAGCGGTCGATAGCTGGGAGAATTTTTAACGCAATGTCAAGCGGCATGCGCTAAATTTGAATTTACTTATTTCTATTACAGATGAATCGAGAGTATTAGCTGAGAGTGTTAACTACCCCACCCCGATGCATGAGATACTCTATTTCATAGCACTGAAACTTGAAGAAAGCTTTTGTAAAATGGTCAGATAAACAGCAGAAATGATAGGTAGCACTGTCCGCACCCCACAAATGTAAAGACATTGATAGTGACTAAGTGACCATTGTGGCGGCTGTGTGTAACAAGTGACATGTCATATGCTCTCAGGGTTAATACTATCGTCTACATCGAAGCACTGAACACAGTAATTAAGCTCTTGCTAGTGTGTAAATCCCTCCTTTGGGGGATTTCGCATTTTCTTATCATCTCTCAGTTGCGTCTCTGTCCTTGGACAGAGTGCGCTCAGGGACTTCTCTGTCAAAGGACAGAGGGGCAACTGAGGAAAATTATACTGAAGAGGTGCCCAGCCCTGGGGAACAGCTACCTGAGGCCGCGCCCTCCCATTGCACAAGAGGGAGGGATCAGTGCTCGCACCGAGGCGAGCGCAACCGACGGTTTCCGGGGCTGAGGGGAATTTTTGTCCCTGCCCGGGTGTACGCGCTCGGGTCCCCACATTAAACCGACCTTGTGTCACATCTTGTTCTAGTGGGGGAACGAGTAAATACCAGTGATTAAGCTCTTGTAGGGTTGTCGTAGGTTTTTTACCGGAACCTTTCTCCAATCTGATCATTCAGGTCGTGGGAGCCGGTAGTTGATGCAAAAACATTTTCACGATAAAATCACATGGGTCCTCCTGTCTCTCCTTGGACTATTACGTCCCGGCCGTCGTACTGACAGAGTTCAAACAGAGGCTCTACAGTACTAAGAACGAGAGCTGATAGAGAGAACCATCTGATCTGGGCATGTAGTTACTTCCCACTTGAATCTATGTACAAAGTACTCATTTCTTTCTTTTTTTTAAATATACCTTTTTTTTTCCCCCGTTGAACATTGTTTTTATTTATATTTTCCCCTCTTATCTGATAGTATTTTGGAATGTTCTACTAATACTTGTTTTATTTTAATATTTTCACTGCGATATGATGATCGATATATGCAGAACCAGCACTCTTTCTACATGTCAGCCTACGAGAAAGTGTAGTGCTTGTGTGGCCAATGTAAGAATTTAATGCTGTCTTTTGATTATTGGTATAATTCATAAACCACATTGTTCTTAATGAGGCGGGATTCTAATTTCTATAGTAAATTATAAATTTAAGGTATTTATTGAGATTTTAATGTGATATGAGGACGATTGCATGTTATTTCTTTGTAAAAATATTAAATCCTAATTTTAATTGTTCGACGACAACGTGGTTCGAGATATTATTGTCAAAAAATGTATTTTTTTTAAGATTCTTAATTTTTTTATAAAATAATGTATCCTAGAATAAAATTATTTTATCTCAGTTAACTATAATTACTTTATTATATAATAGCATTGTTTTATATATGAGGGGAATTCACTTTTGTGATTGAAATCGCACACGAATAGTTTTTTTTTACAGCGTAAAAGAGAGATTATGAGTGTTGTCGTTTAAAAAAATATGAAGGAAAAGGTTCAAGTTTTATTTTTAAGTTTATAAATAATATAGGGAATCAAAAAACCCCGCGCTTGACAAAGATTTTATTTGAAATTTCGTTAGAAATTTTAAATTAAAATCTTAAGTATTATTTGCCCTGTGTAAAACATTTAGTTAAAGGAAGTAAATATTTTTGAAACTAAAATATCTTTTTATAATTAGGCTATGGCTATACTGAATTAGCACTATATATATATATATATATATATATATGAAGAAGCTATATTTATGGGAAAATGGCCTGATGATTGCGCCTAGCATGAAACAGCCTGTCGCCTCTAAGTGTTGACGTCAATGTTCACTTTTATATATATATATATATATATATATATATATATATATGTCTGTGTGTGTGTATAAATATATATAAATATACGTGTGCGCGTATATATATGTGTGTCTGTTTATAGATGCATATATATGTGTATATATACATACATATATGTGTGTGTATGCGCGTATGGGTGTGCAGTTTTGCTTGTGTTTACTAATACTAAATTTCAAAGACGTACATTATTAATTCAGTATTAAAATTAAAAATAGCACTTATAGCTCTAATTTTAAAGATCATTATCTATCTATCTATCTATGTGTTCATTATCTATCTATCTATCTATCTATCTATCTATCTATTCGTGTTCATTATCTAGCTAGCTAGCTAGCAAGCGAGTAAAGCGTAAGGAAATGTCGAGTGATAGACAGAGAGTAAAATAAGAACAATATTAATACGATTTCTTTTCATGGAACCATTGTAGAAGAAATACATAAACAGTGAATTCATATTTATAGCAAATATTGTTTTCCTCTGTCATTGTCTTGTTCCTAAGACTGTCATAACGATGAGGCAAGACGGCGTGCGTGGGCGGCATAAAGCTGCTAATTTTCAGACTGGATCTAGAAAGTTTGGTGCCGAAAAGATCTATCTGTCACTTCTTGAATAATTCCTTTGCGTCATCGGATATTTCCATAATTGTTCGAAGCAAATCTCATCAGCCATAACATTAGTATTCTGATTTTCTGACTAAGAGACGTGTGCTCTTCTTTCAACTGCCTTTTTGTGTGTTGTTCAAATTATGCACATGTTAAGTAAAATGTTGAAACGTTGTTATGGTTCATATGGTTAGGCGTTCATTACTCTCCACACATTCCTTTTCTTGAATAACCTCTAATTCCCATGATTTCATAGGAAAGATAGTGGAGTTGTTTCTCTTATCTTTCTCGGCAGTTTTTAATTTATTCTCTAAAAGTAGTCGTTATTCAAGTCTAGAAAGCGTAGTCTACCTTACTATTTTACCCATTGCTGATGAAAAAAAGAAACGGATTCATGCCTTTCTCAAGGGTATTTGTGAGAAAGTGAACGCAAAAAGCTGCGGATTTGATGTTTCAGGTGATAATAAAATTAATCAATACAGATTTTGGGATGAAATATAAAACCTCATATTCCTCAATCTAATGCTCTACAACAAAGTAAAATTCTCATATACGATTTTGCAATGATGACATTATGTAATTTACAGAGTGATTAGTTAGGAGAGTCATCTTGACACTAACTCTTTTATTTTAGGTTCCTGTCGATAACAATTTATCTAATTTCTGTTTTGGGCCAACTAAATGTTAACTAGTGGAATGGCGCTACATATTCTTAGTCAAAGATAATTGAACTGCTAATTGAACGTCTTCTTTGTGTTCTCCTTTTGACCGCCCCCTCTCTATTCTACCGTTATCAGATCTATAATACTAAGAATTTATTTTATGATCTACCCTTGCTCTCTCTCTCTCACACACATATATGTATAAACGCACAAAAAACACACACACTCTCACATACACACAGAATTTAGAAAACGCTATTGTATTCATATTGTCAACTAAAAATTACGTCAAGTTGACGACATGAATACAGTAGAGTTTTCTAAATTCTCCTAGTTGCTAAGGACATTTTGTTTGTTGTTAATAGTTATTTTGTTTTCAATAAATTAATTTCGTTTTCGCCTTGAAAATGTCCACATTGGACGAAACGCGTCGGCGAATACTACAGATTGTCTTTTACCTTTATACTAATGTCCTTATCTACAGGTTAACTTGAGAAAATTTTTCACACACATATACACACACATATATATATATATATATTACTATGAACCTAAAGAGTCAAGTAATTGGGCATTGGTTTGTTCATTTACAAACCAAAACACCTATGGTTTTTCCAGACGAGTATAACTACTTATATTTATATTATATATATATATATATATATATATATATATATATATATGTGTGTGTGTGTGTGTGACAATCAACACTGCATTGTGATTCCTATTTTCGCACTGTCTATAAACGCTCTATCTCCGATATTTTAGCATTATCACCCAATAAATATAGCCAATTTTAAATAATATATACACGTATGTATGCATGCAAAACGGCAACAGTCTGTCATTAATAGAAGTCTGATTAAAAACGTTGTATAAGGAATATTGTTTTTATTTATCTTTTCTAGTTTGCGTACAAGAGGACGATGTTTCGGACGCTGATGTTATATCGAAAATGCACTTGTAACGGGATTACCATTTGCGTAGCCATTATTAGTGAGAGAGAGAGAAAAACAAAACTGAAAATCTGTGGAGTAATAATGTTGCTTGTGTGGTTTTTTCTCAAACAGGAGATAGAAATAAAATTATAAGAAATATTGTACAATTAACATTTCCACTGCTCTGGCAAATTCAGTAGTAAGATTACAAAAAAAAATGTAAATTGTCTTTTTCGAGTTCATATGTGTGTACAAAATTCCTTTGAAATTGTGAGAGATATACATTTGAGATTTACTTATTGGCTTGTTAGAATTATTAGGTTCATATGTACTCAAGTTAGCCCAGAGCATTGTGAGCTGTGTACTTTCTCTGTTGCATTCAATACTGATTCGCTGAGGACTGAAAGGCTCCCGGGAGCGAACGAGGCACATTCTGTCTCTCAGGCAACCCGTGGCTAAGTGAAATGCACCCTTTTCTTATATATAATAATAATTTTGGTAAAGTCGGCCGTTGTCAAAAAATGCTCAAATGTCAAATATATGGTCCTACTCCATCTCCTTCTCATCAGTGCCATTAGATTCCTGTGTCATATATAGGGTTACAAACATGATGTGTTGCTGCTGGTTTCAATAACAAATAGTTTTTTTACGGGTTTGTGTTGCCAGCCATACATCAGACCTGTTTTGAATTTAGTCGGGATTTGAACTCAGTACACCGATTCAACTTTCTGACAACCGTTACGCTACCCCCACATCCAAATATATAAGTCAATATAAATATAGATCTGCTTGAAGAAATTTACATTCTTGATTTCATATATGTACAGGGTGTCCTCAAAAATTTGACATCATTTCGTAGGCCAATAATTTTGACAATTCTTGTTGAAATAACCTCAAATTTTCACAGAATTTATAGAAACAGATCAAGATTTTATATTTAATGTTTTATTTTTGTTATCTCAATGAGAATCTGCCAGAGAGATGGACCGGGCGTGCTGGAGATGAAGACAGTTTTCTGATTAAATGGCCACCGTGGTCACCGGACATGTCCTTGTGTGATTTCTTCTTATGGGGATATATGAAGGGACTATGTCCTTCACATTTCCTGCTAGTATAGACAAACTCAATCAGAGAATCATTTCCGCACTGGATAATGTTACCGGAGACATTCTACAGCGTGTTTGGCAAGACCTTAACTACCGACTTGACTTGTGCCGTGTCACAGTCGGTCCACATAGGGAACACTTTTGAAGTAAAAAAGAGCGCGTGAAAACGTAGAATTCTCAGTGATTGAATGCCTGTCGTTATCCGAGAGGATCACTGGATGAAATGAAAAGAAATGAAAATTAGGTCAAGATATCTAAGTCTTGTACCGGAAGTGAATAAGTTTTAGAACATGAAGATGAGTGGTGTACTCATCATTATTAGCTCATTCAGAAAAGTCCTGGGAAGCCTTACAAAGAGGATGGTATATTTGGCAATACAAACTAGAATCAGAATACTTCTAACTTTACTAATTTAGTAAAATTAGTTTGAACAGAGAGAAGAGAAATGAAATGTTCTCACTTAATCTTCAGCGAGAGCCACCAAACAACACTCGTGTTAAAACTCAAGAAGAAATAATAATAATAATAATAATAATAATAAATGCTACGCCATGCATAGATCTTATAGCGCCTGATATTAATTGATTGTAGGTGTTAACATATACATGTTATGTCTTGGTGAACTCTCGACTGTCATGTAACTAGATCGACTTAAGAAGGCTTTTTTACGACCAAATCACGTATAAACTCCGGTTCTCGTACGATCACCGAAGTTAAACGTCGTTGAGTTTTGGTCAGTATCAAGATGGGTGACCGCTTGAGGATACCAAGTGCTTTAGGTTTGGATGTGCGGCTGGTGTAATGGATAATGGTTGGGAATTGTATCCGAGTTCCAATTCAGGTTGGGTACGTTATATTCACTTATGCACTAATACTCTTGGGAGGGGGGTACGAATTTATCTCTTCTCCCCCAGCTATGGCTTAATTATGAAAACTTGTATCACTTAACCGCTATTATCTAAAAAAAAGAATTCTTATAATCTAAAAATATATTCTGGCTTTAAAGAGTTGATAAGTTGTAGAAAATGAATCAAATAATAATCTCTTCTTACTAACTAGAAGAAATGCCTGAAGAAGTGATTACAGTCGAAATGTTTGATTACAAAATCTAAGATGAGCACAAAATTCAGAATAAAATCAATATATAATAATATATTCTTCTTCTTCTTGTGCCGTGTCCCTTCAGGAAGTAGGTGATCATGGCTCTTTACATCTTCCTCTCCTTTGTAGCTCTTAATAAATTATGTCTTTTCCTATTTCATTTAAACCTTATTCAGAAGCTCACTAAGTAGGTTATGCGTTGTTTTCCTCTATCCCTCTTGCCTTCAATTTACCCTGGGAGTATCAGATTTTCCAAGCACTCTTTCCTCATTTCCTAGAAATTTCAACTGTCTCTTCCTGATATAAATTAGAAGTGTCGTTTTTGTTTCTATTTTCTCCAAACATTTGTCGCTGCTCACATGTTCAGTCCATGGTATCCTCAGCATCCTTCTGTAGAACCACATTTCTATTGCTTCAAGTCTTCTCTTTATCTTTGAGGAGATTGTCAAGCACTCACTGCCATACAGCAGGACAAATATTATGTACCAGTTTAGTAGTATTTCCTTTGTTTCTAGTTTTTCTATTTCTTAATACTCTGCTTAGTTTTTGGAATGCATCTTTGGTTATTCATTACATCTTCGGATTTCAGTGTCACACTTTTTGTCCTCTGTTAAAACACTTCCCAGCTATTTAAATTTGCAAACTTGTTTGATTTTGGTATCTCCAATTTGCAATTCGCACTTTGCTAAAAACAATAATGATTATGACTCTTAGTTGTTTTGTAAAATAACATCCCCGATACACGAAAACTAATGCATCGACTTGTATAGATCATCTAAGAATTAAAAAAAAATGAATCATCGGATCATTTATGAAAATTTGTGGATAACCAGATTTTTGAAAGATTGTCTCTGTTTTTTCTACAATAAGGAAAACTATTTAGGATAGATCTTAGAGATTATATAAGATCTTATATTATCTTATTAGGACTGATTACAAAGTTTAACTGCATCTTAATGATGTATAATGCTTATTAAGGAGACAATTATTATTTTCGTGAGATCGTATTCAACTAAAGGCAAAATATTTTTGTCACTCTAAAGAAGCTTATGAAATACGAGTGTTGATTGATAAGTAAGGTTTTCTAAAACATTTAAATTAGTTTGAATAATGAAACAGATAAGAATGACTCTTCAAAGTCTACAAATTTATTTTTTCCAAAATTGTCACTATTAATGCCACATATTTTCCGAATCGTTTATATCATTTTTAATTCTATCCATATAAACAATTTCTGCTTCTTGTTTTTGATCAAATCGCGCTGACAAATGTCAACTTCGGCATCAGATGAAAACATATTGGCCTTTCAAATGCAGACACTACCAAATATGGTATAACACTTGAGCTGTGTCTAGAGGATATACAATAGCTACAATTTGCAGGCTTACTCACTGATTACTTCGTTTGCGTTCCAGGCTTTATTTTTCGATAAAGATGTTTGAATATTCTCAAATTTTCCTTGCTTCCGTAAGTCGGATTTTTCAACTGACACACAACATTCAAATGCTAATAATTCTGTTTCTCATCATTGTTGTATACGTAACTAGGACGTGATACTCATGACGAACAAAAACCATTACTGAATCCTGCCGAAAGGAACGGAATTCTTGTTCAAATGTATTTCTAATATTAACGACGCGCTAGAAGACCTTACTTATCATTCAACATTCGTAATCAGCGTGTTGTCATTATGTAATAGCTAGAAAGTTACATAAGGACATTGGTAAGGATATTTAATTCGTCTTCCCACTGAGACGTGATGTGACACAAAATCGGGTTTATTGGTGGAGGTTACTCGAGCGCGTACAGCCAGGCCAAGGACAAAAATTTCCCGAGCCTTCGTAACCGTCGGTTGCGTTGTTCCTTGTGGAGAGCACCAATTCCTCTCTCTAGTACGAGAGATTACAGTCTTAGGCAGTTGTTCACCAGGGCTGGGCACCTGAAAGTATTATTTTCCTCAGTTGCGCCTCTGACCTCCGACGAAAGCCGCAACTGAGTCGCTCTCTGCGCGAAGACAGAGACGCAACTGAGAGATGTTAAACCCTACCCAGCATATGCCAGGTAATAGATATTGGCAATAATAATGTTAATATTAACTGTTTCCTTATAAGGAAACATTCGCCATTCATTGAACTACCTTCTACTGCTAGAGTCGGTTGAAAATTATAAAATCTTTCTATTGATTTTCCAGGAAAATAGGTTTCTCAAATCCAGTAATTTATCGTTCTTTCCAGCATTGATGGTTCCTTCCTTACCTATTGCTTAAAGAAGTGTGTATTGTCAACATCTTGCATATGTCATTATTTTCTCTTCCTGTTACATGTTCTATTCCTTTTAGCTGTTTGTAAATCTGTATCTCTCGATTCGGTTCTCGCTAGGACTTAACATCACTGGGTCTCCCACATGACACGTGATGTATTAGGTGACGTAACATATTGCAATTAACGTAGTAAGATTGATACTCTCGACGCTACCAACTTTCGCCCAAACTCAGTTAAATTTATAATACATACTAATACATTCCATGACATCTCCTTGGAACACATTTTAAAACACGGAGCAACCAAGAGGTTCCCAAATGATATGAATTTTACATATTTGGAGGGAAGATCATTTTTGCATGATTCTAAAAAATGTTTAATGTATAATTAAAAATTGAATATTTTCCATAAATAGGGCAACTAGTAAAATAGTACTTAAATCTATTGGTTTTTTTCACCTCCTCATTATTATTATTATTATTATTATTATTATTATTATTATTGTTATTATTCTAATCCTCCTCCTCCTAATATTCTTCTTCTTCTTTCCCCCGCTTCCACAACCTCCTAATCTTCTTCGTCTTTTTTTTCTACCACCTCCTAATCTTCTCCTCTGCTTCCTCCTGCTCTTGATCTGCGCCTTGTTGTTGTTGTTGTTGTTTTCCTCCTCCCCTTACTCTACCCCTAACCCATTGTTGTTGTTGTTATCCTTCTCCTGATCCCCTTCTTCTAATCCTAATCATCTTCTTCTTGCTCCTCCTCGTCCTTTTCTTCCCTCCTCCTCTACCTCCTAATCTCCTTCTTCTTTACTTCTCTTTCTCTTCTCCTTCTCTTCCTACCAATCCATTTCTTCCTCTTAACGCGGCTTCATTCAAATCATTCCACATCGTTTTTATTTTCTTGTTTTATTTTTCTCAATCAATTCAAAAAACACCTCACAACCTTCGTTCATTTTATCGGCTTCTATTAATTATCAACCGTTCGTCATTTTTCTTTAATTCCCCAGACCTCATTTTGTTTCTTTCTTCCTCCTTCTTGCCTTCCCATCTTTCTTCCTTTCCTACTTCCCCTTCATAGATTATAACCAGCGCGTTCTTGTCGACATCCGCTATGATGATAATAATGATGATGACGATGATGATATTGTGGCTGTAAGTGCAGTTGAATATTGATAAAGCTTTTGTTTTTAGTTCTCTTCCATTATTTCGACTTCAATATTCAATGTCTTGTGAACGAAGCTTTTCATCTAAGAACAAAACTCCTATCCCCATGGTGATGAGGGCGGGAAAGAGCGTCCTTCATAAAAGAATCGAACTCTCTGAGAAGACAAGCACCTGTCAGACAGGTACACGCGACGTCAGTGAACTTGTTTCGTTCAATTCATATACATATTACATTTGCTTATCTATTTAGTTACACATGAGTATCGTATCGACTTTTTTTTTATATCTCTTACAGCCAGTTCATATCGATCTATCTATCTATCTATCTATCTATCTATCTATCTATCTATCTATCTATCTATCAGCCTGTTCATTTCTATCTATCTATATATCTGTCTAGTAAATCTATTCATATCTATCTATCTATCTATCTATCTATCTATCTATCTATCTATCTATCTATCTATCTATCTATCTATCTATCTATCTCAGTTTGACCATATCTATCTACGTGTCTATCCAAGCCAACGTGCACTCTCCTGTTTGTGTTTGTCTATATTCATATCTGCCTTAATCAAATTTTAGCCTATTCTTTCACTCGCTATATATATATATATATATATATATATATATGTGTGTGTGTGTGTGTATGTGTGCGCGTGCGCGCGCACGCGCGTGTGTGTATACACACACATATATATGTATTTGCCTACATGTATATATATATATGTATATATATCTTATATATGTATATATGTATGTATATATATATGTATATATGTGTACGTAGAAATATATGTGTATATATATATATATATATATATATATATATATATATAGAGAGAGAGAGAGAGAGAGAGGGAGAGGGAGAAAGAGAGAGGGAGAAATAGTTTAATCTTTAAGTTGTCAGAATAGAGACTATGAATAATAATTTCTTCTTTTAAAAAGATATTTTATTTTGCAATCAAATCCATTTCCGGTTTATATTTTCTGCTGTCCTTCTGTCTGTCTGTATATATATATATATATATATATATATATATATATATATATATATATATATATATATTTTAATGATTACGCAATTAAACACACACAAACATATGCGTATAGGTAAATGCATGTTTTCCTGTATTCATAAGTATTCATTTCCTAGCCTCTTTGACTTGATTATGTTTTCTATTTATTTGTTATGAAATAAACATGTTGCAATTAGAATGAAATGAATTCCATTCGCACGCGCTGCCATATATCCACCCACGCATCTACATTCAGTTTTAAAATTGCATAACACCTCTTACTCGACCATTATAGCATTCAACTGGTGTTGTTGTCACTCGCCTCGTTGCGTTCTCAGCAATAAGATTTACACATTTTTTTTTACCTTTTCACTCAGTGGCTAATGCTTCACAAATGGACATTATATTCATGCTCTAAATATATACATACATATATAAAGCAACAAATATAATTTAATATTTAAACTTATCTTTCCGAATCGGAGTTTCGCAGATATCGCATCCGCTTATCATTAAATTATATTTGTGACTATTAATGCTCTGTTTCTTAATATTGAACATTTCAATTACAAAGACTGCTTTAAAAAAATGCTCTACCTCAGGAAATACAGTAGTTATACATGTGTGTGTGTGCGTGTGTATGTGTGTGTGTGAGTGTTTATGTGTGTGTGTGTGTGATTACCATAGATAAAAGGAAAATAAGGATCGGCGAAGTTACGTTCAATAAAATATGTTTGTGTTTAACTTCCTCTACCAACATTTACATACACTGATTCATTTGTGAGTGAAGGGGGGGGAGGCTTCTCTTTGTGGCGTAATGGTTCACATGTTAACCTCCGCTCTGTTGCTGCTGAATAGTGAGTTCAATCTTCGTTCTCAGACACATTCTTTTACAGTGGCGTAGTATAGAGATATAAGCAAAGATTTGTATATTCGAGAATAGATGTAAAGTAAATGATGATATTGAATGTTTATCAATTAATAAACAAAGAGGAAAAATAGAAAGTCATATATTTTGTGCTGAATTCAGTTATTTCTCTTAAATCTTTTTAAATGGTGATCAAGTTTGCAAGAATCGTCCAGTTTTCCATATGTGTCTCCATGCTTTTACACTTGACCAAAAATCTTTCCCAGAATAAGTCGTTTTACAGACTATTTGAAGTCGAATATTATTCTGCGCTTAAAAATCATGTTTGCAATTTAATAACTGAAATTAGTCGAAATTATTGCTGACTATGAAAATTATGCTAAAAAAAATAAAATCTCGGGATTAATGCGTATATTTATTTTCGTAAATTAGGTTACTGAGTGTATTATTTAGTAATGAACCGAAAATCATGTAATATTTAACCATTTTGAAATGTTTCACGTGTATCTATTTTCACCTTATTTTTTTCTTATCTTACTCAGGCAGCTTAAGATCGGAGTTACTCAATAAATTCTTAAATGAACTTTATTCTGCTCCCGACCTAATAGATCATCGCAGTATCATCCTGGGTCATTCATATCCTAGGTATTATAAAAACAGTGGGATTTCAAGATATTGTCTACCTTCGCTTCGTAGTAGTAGGCGTCCGATTGTATTAGGTTAAATGGCACCAACAGAAATGAATAAAATCTCTGGTTGAAAAGCATTGGGAGAAATGGATTCATACCTTTTCTAAGATCAATAGAACAATTATCCTCAAGGACACATGGCACAGTGGATAAAGGCGTTAGGTAGATACAGTGACAAGACCCAAAGAGTGTGAGTTAAATACCCGTTTAAGGCAGTGGAGAAATTTCAGAGGGGAATTAACAGGAGATAACGGATAACGTCCATTAAAAACATGCCATGTGGAACTAGAACAGTCTACCCCAGTGAGCGAAATAAAAGGTTCAGTTCGACATTCCAACTATCCGAAGAAGGCCGGAGCGTACAACGGCCGAAACGTTGTAATAAATATGGCGACAAAGATGAGGCCAATAGTCCGAATAAGGCAGATAGTGTACATAATACCTCATCTCAGAAATATAGACAGATACTGAAAGGCCGAAACGTTGTAATAAATATGGCAACAAATATGAGGCCAATAGTCCGAATAATGCAAATAATGTACATAATAATACCTCATCTCAGAAATATAAAGAGATACTGAAAGGCCGAAACTTTGTAATAAATATGGCGACAAAGATAAGGGCAATAGTCCGAATAGTGTAAATCGTGTACATAAATAGTACCTCATCTCAGAAATATGAACAGATAATCAATTGTACAAATTGAATATAAATTAATTTAGAATTTGAACTAAATTCACAGATTGCAATATTTGGGTTTTCGGCCGTCATGCCAACAGGTATATCCAAATTCTGATCTAAAGTACAATTAATAAATATTGATTTACTTCCTAATGCAACAAAGAACAGAACAAATTTGGTCCAAGTAAAGACAAAGCTGCATGCAAATATGCATCTTTCTATTATCATGCACGATTTCATAATCATCAATCCATATGCACAAATTAAACAAAAAACATACATGTGTTAAGATAAATACGAAGAGATACAGAGAATTCCTTGGCCAGACAAGTAAAGGATTTGCTCAGATTTTGGAAACAGAGAAATGTTTAGCAACTCTTAATATATATTTATAATCTTGTCCGCCTATTGTAAAGGAATAGCGAGTAGTCTAGTCTCTCTAGCTAGTATAAGGAATTCAATCGACTTACGTAGTACAGTTCAGTCCGCGCGTAACAATGTTTTATATAACTATTCATATATATATATATATATATATATATATATATATATATATATATATATATATATATATATATTTTATTCGAAAATTATAGCCTTTATTCTACATCATCACTTGATAAGACACCAGAAGTTTCGAAACAAAATGGCTATTTTTGTAGTGATTTTATAACATATTTAGGTTATAATTTTCCAATGAATGATTATGCTTGCTCTACTCTGTATTGAGCACTCTTTTAAGAATAGTATTTGTTGGTTATTGGAATGTATTCAGCATACACTAATCCTATATATATATATATATATATATATATATATATATATATATATATATATATATATATATCACTGGCAATTTCAGGATCGGACTTGTTGGGCTTTAGTCTGAGTGAATCTACATTTAAGTATATCTATTTAAATACAATAAAATTTTTTCGTAGTGCGTCGTTTTCATTCTTGACTTTAGCTGAATCCAAAATTGTTTTAACTACGTGCCTCAAAATATTGACCGAAATACATTTTGGTGATATTGTTCAAAATAAAGAAGGAAGAAGGAAAGAAAGCAAAAAACAAAGTAAGAAAGTAAAAAATTGAATGAAATAAAATTAACGTTCCAGTGGAGCTTTGTAGGTCTTAGGTCTATCTGAGCTAGGGACATACTTAATAGGCAATGCATTTCTTGCTTTAATTTTTATAATCTTTTAAAAATCTCTATTGTATTGTATCCCGTGTATTTCAAAGGACACATTTTTATTTTAACTTCTTGTTTTTAAATGTCATTTTTAAATAATTTATTCCGTACGATATAAGGTGTTTAGCGGAATGTATCTTTTGAGAAAGGGCAAATTAAATTTAGCCCGACCTAAATATCGGTTGTCGACCGGAGGGGTGGGTGAAGATTATGATATCAATTAAACACACAGAGAGATACATAAACATAGTAACGCATAGGCATATATACAAATACACATTCGAGGTAGATACACGTTATTAAAAAAAATACATATACGGCTTTGTCTCTTTTTTCTTACATATCTTGATTTTTTTAAAATAGATGTTTATTTTTTTTATAGAATTATTAAAATTCATATTAAAATAACAAATTTGTGTTTTTTTTAATTTTATTCCCAGAGATTTTTAATCAATAATTTACAAGTTTCCATTGGTATTTTATTTCATTTTTTTTTTTGTTGCACAGTTTCTTTAGGTCCAGGATGTTTTTCGGAGATTTTTTATAACTTGAATATAAAAAAAAAAGCCACAAATTCTCTACTAGATTCAAGTCTGGAGACTGTGATGGCCGTTCCAGTGTATTGACATTATTTTCAATAAGCCATTTTTTCCTAGATTTAGCCATATGTTTAGGGTCATTATCTTGTTGCAAATTTCATTCATATTCACCAGTCTTTATTACTTCAAAACATCTTGGTATATTGTTGAATTTATTCCACCATCTATTACCTCTCAATTATCCGTACCATTAGCAGAAAAACATCCCCAAACCATGATATTGCCACCACCAAATTTCACAGTTGGGATTGTGTTCTTTGGTGCAAAGGCTATGTTGTGTTTTCTCCAAACGTGAGTCCATGAATTACGCCTAAATAGTTCTCTTCATCTGTCCGTAGAACACTTTCCCAAAATGATTTAGGTTTATTCTGATGCTCTCGAATAAATCTTAACTAGGCATCTCTATATTTCTTCAATAGTACTGGTGTTTTTTCTTGGAGAACACGATCGTAGTTGACTTCTGTGAAATTCATTCCTTATTGTTCGCTTCGTAACAACAATACCTGATGCTTTTAATTCTTCCTGCATTTCTCTCCG